CTTTGCACAGCTTTGAACAGAATTCTTCAAAGAAAGGATATCTCACGTTGCTTAAAGGCAACAGGAACAGCCGGCTGTCCAAAACACCGCCTACTATCACGGGACGAACACATTATGTGGACAATCTCAATTAACCTTGCCACTTCCCGTGGTGGCATAGTACTTCCTCAGACGATAATATTGAGGCACAAAGGTTAAGTAACTTACTTTGCTGAGTGGTGAAGCTGGGATTTGAACCTCTCACCACTCACCCAGTCAGGGGTTAGAGAGCCTACATGAAAAGCTGCCTCTTAAATGTTGGGGCTGTTACCCAAACTGCTCTAGTAGCTGAATTATTCCTCCCTCCTGTCCTTATAATTACTATTTAAACTTGGGCCTTTGGGTGGTTCTTTGACCTCCTGGGGACAGAGGGCCTGAATGAGCCTAGGTTCCACAGAGGCACACTGGCCCCACCCCAGTCTTCTGGCTTCCAAGCCTTCTACCCACAACACTCTCCAGCCCCCACCAAATATGCCTCAGCTTCCACATTTTTAGCTGTGGGTTCTCTTTTGGGGTAGAATCTTCTCTAAAATGTTTACCTTCCTACAAGTCGAGGAAGAGCAGAAAACATTTGCACTTTCCCACTTGAAGAACATTTCCCCTTTTCTACCCAGAGCAGCTATCTTGAAATAGTCCCCCTGGGGTAGGCAGAGCTGGCCTCTGGCCTGGATACTGAGTCCCTGCATGTGCTCCAGGCCCTGCATGTCAGTGTGGCATGAGCTGTGTGAGTTTTGCAGGGGAACAAGGGATCCCCTGAGTGCTGGAGGTACTTGGTGCAGCTGGAATTGCTTTGCTGCCCCCAGAAAGAGGTTCTGTTTTTTGAGAAGTTCAGAATCCTTGACAGAGGCCCTAAAGTGTTCCTTGACTTTCCTCAGGTGGCTTCCTAGAACTCGCAGAATTTAATCTCTGCAGCAAACTCTAACAGGGCTTCACTTGTCTTTTCTCCCTTCCTTCTGTTGACTTCCCAGGAGACTTAAAGCATCCTGAAATATTCTTTTAAAGACTGGTAATTCTGAAGCTAGCAGTGACTTCGAGAGCCCACCTCATTTTTCACACTGACTCCTGCTGAGGTCACAGCCACTGCCTCCAATAAATCAGCTCAAACATCTGTAAACTAGTCTGGGTGTGGGGTAGGTTCCATGAGACTTCTTAGCGCTCGTAGGTCAGCTCCTTAATGTGACAAATACAAACCCCAGTCTGTATTTCCAATTTGCAAGAATGATAACTTTATTTTCAATAATCATACTCGGGATTTCATATCCATTGTGCTGAGTGGCTAAAACTCTATGTTGGTCTCTTTAGAGTTGCCCCTCTTACCACCCAGCAGGCTGAGAGGAAAAGGATTTCCTGTTTTAGGGGACAGGACAGTTAGGGGGGAGTAGTCAGAGCGATGAGACTGGTGGATCCTAAAGAAAGGCAGAGCCCCCATGGAAGCAGCAAAACCCCACTGCTAGATATATGCACTGAAGGAAGACAGTAAGTCTTTGTGGTGAGTCTTGGCAGCCAAGGCCTTGCCCAGCCTCATGGAGAGGATCTACAGCAGGGTGGGCAAAGAAAGTTCAAGGTGGCTTGAGAGAAGCAGAAAAGGTTGCTGGCACCTGACAGAGTCATTCAGGTGGGAATGAGGCTGTCTCTATAGAGCCTACATTGGACTGACACCCCAAGACCACATGGGATGAGGGATGTCTCAGTGGGTGCCTGCATAGGGCATCCAGGAGCAGCAAAGTGCCTCACCTCTTCTCCCAGTCACCCCTGTCCTGGTACCACGTAAGTCCCATGGAACATCAATACAGCCCAACACAGGGAGATGCTGGAGAGAAAACTTCAATGGACTGAGATACAGTTTTTCACCCACAGGAAACTGGGAGGTCAAAACAGAAATCAAATTGAGTTTTGGAAAAATATAGAAAATTATCATGTATGCATGATATTTGTGAAGCTTGAGTGGTAAACTAGCTCAGTAAAGTGTGGATTTATCAGAAGAACCCAGAAGAATCTCACAGAAACAAAATTCAGGAAGTACATCTGGGCTTCACAGGAACAAGAATGCCCAAAGGCAGCTACTGTCTGTGGCTCTGACTGTCCCTTATAATCAGCTTTTCTCTGGGACACGGTGCCAATCGCCTCTCTGCAAGGACCAAGACAGAGGCAGGTGGCTTCCTCTCCTGACTCATGATCCCTCCACAACCTTTGTGAACACGGGTCTTTGGCTGGTGCTCACTAAGGCGCCATCTCCACAAGACTGTCTGGTCTGTGATCTCCACCAAATCATTGCATTCTTAATGCCTCTTGGTTGAAAGGCTTGAGAGGGAATCAGCTTGGACACTCTTTTGCCCTGGGTCATGCTCCTTAGACCAGGAACCCACCCTGGCCCAGTCATGTAGGGTCAGAGGGTGAGAAGTCATGTGAGTGGGACATGGTGCTCAAGCCAGTCATATCATCAAAGATGTGTGGATTGGACAGTTCCAGAGAAAGGTCTTGGGCCCAGTTTCTATTTAACTTTTATTTAAATTACTGCTGTACCTTAGACTCCTCTCTATATTGCCACTTCCTTGAAAGCAGGGGCTCTAATTCATCTCTGTATGCACCATCACATCTTTCGTGTGCCTTTTGCATTTGGAAGAGTTCAATGAATATTTGTTGAATGAATGCACATCCCTATATTCATTCTCTGTTCTCTCTACCTTCATTTCTGAGTGAACAGTGTTCAGGTTAATATCTGAATAGAATAATTCCTGTTGCTGGGGCATAGCAGGTGAGTGGCAGTCAAAATGACTAGATGACTCGATTTAAATGACTGTTATATGGGCGGATTTCCTGATCACACACAATCAACATCCCCAGAGTCACTATATTTACCATTGGGTTTTCCTAACAACTGAATATGCTAATTTCTTGTTATTCTAGAGCCACCTTAACTGCTATGGACATTGGCTGGAGACCTCATCTATTCTTTGAAGCATTTATGTGATAGGTTGGAACTAATTTAAAGAAGAGGAGCAAGTGATACTCTACAGGGAAATAATTCCTAGTCTCTTTTTGACACTTAGACTAATTTTTCTAAATTAAAAGCTTAGAGTTATCAGCCATCACCACTTTGAGTAAAGAAATTCAAACATTTCATGTTTCTCTGTGCACTAATTAAACGGGCTCTATTTAATTGAAAGAGCTTCCCTGATGCCAGCAATGACAATTTAGAATCGTACAGTTTTGAACCTAGAGGGAACTTACAGATCATTTAATCTAACCCTTCTATTTTATACGGGAGGAAATGAAAGCTGTCATACATCTAGAGGCAGAGCTACCTCCCCCACCCACCTGGTCCAGGGTTCTTCAGCCCCAAGAAAATCTGCACTATTACCAGCAGAGGTTGGGGGATGCTGGAGATCACTAACATGGGTAACATAAGTAGTCCTACGCAGTAAATATGGCTAAGCCCACAGAAGGAAAATAAGACAGCCCTCCATCCTGAAGGAAAGATAAAAGATGGCTCATTCTTAGGAATGTGTGTCTAGCCAGGGTTGCTCAGAGACTGGCCAGTGAGTTCTTACCATGAACTGGATACCATGTTCAACACTCAGTCCTCAGGAGCTGGATGAGCCACATAACCTACCTATGGGATCAGCATTATTATCTTCATTCTACAGATGAGGAGACTGAAGTTGGGACAATTAAGAGATTCGCCCAAAGCCACATACCAAGCTCACTTACTAATAATATCTGAGCTGGGATTTACACTCAAGTTTCTCAAGGTACTAAGCCTGCGTTCTTAACCCAGGGTGATATTTGAGTAGAGGCTCCCTGGGGACATGGGTGACAGTCTGGGGCCTCTCTGGGGAATCCTGCTTTGCACTATTTATGCTTTTATATTTATGTGGATACCTGCGCCTGCCAGGAGGTATTCTGTCTGCCTGGATCAGCCTGAGCTGAACTGGTCTAGCTCCGGGCAGACTTTTATCACAAACTATACCTCCAGCTCTTTGCTAGGACAGAGCCAGCCCAGGGTGGGGCCAGTCTCTGTGCTGGTTAATTCACATTCCTTGTGGAGAGACTTGCCATTTGTTGAGAATTTGAATGTGAGACTGATAAACCTGGAAGGACCATTGAGATTTGGTGCAATCTCCATGTTTTAAAAAGGAAGAAACAGAGGCCCAGTTTGTTTCGTTGATGCTGACCTGTAAATGCTAAGAGAGCCAGAGTGGCTCGGAGAAACAAGTTTATGCAGAGCCTGGAAAATCAGCCCTTTTATGACTAGTTCCCCTTTTAGCTGCTTGTCAGCCCAGCTGATGGTTCCCTTCTTGCTTGCCAGTCAGACAACACTGAGAAGGTACAAATCTTCTCTTTGCTCTCTCTCTCTTTTTTTTTAATTGTAGGCTAGCTGTTTTGGGACACAAAGGCAGCTTGTCGGTGACACGGTGACATGCAGGTTGGTAAAAGAATTTACTGGAGATAAAGTATGAGAATAGAAAAGGAGTTTATTATGTTCCACTGTCATAGACAACAGTGGGCCACACAGATAAGGGGTGCCTGTGTGAGCGCCGAGGGCTGGTTGGTGGGGTCTTTGATAAAATTGGGTCTCAAGGTGCCTGATTGGCTAGTGCACAAGTCTCTGAGGTTGTAGGTGAGGTGAGAGGTTTAGGGCCTATGAAGGGCGGTGGGGTTTATGGCTCTGATAAGGTGGGCTGAAACAAGCCAGCCTGAGCTACTGTGAGATTAGGCATTAACTAGGGCTATTAGTTTGTTAGGGCAAACATGCCCAGTAAAGAATGTCCTTTGTTGAGGGATCATGGGCAGACATCCGAGATCCCAGAAATTGGGGTTGTTGGACTTCGAAGGATGTCAATTGACCTAACACTAGCTTCTCTGAAAAAGCAGAGGACTTGGCTACCTATAGCTTCCTTGCTTCTCTTCCAGAGAAGAGCAGATCCTCTTCCCTTAGAAGTCTCCCAGAAAGTTTCAAAATGGAAGTGACTGGCCCCATTTTTGGTCAAGTGCCCACCAGCCCGACCAACTACTGTGAGCTGGAAAGGTTACAAAAGTTGGCGCTAGCTCCCATTTTCAACAAGGGGGTGGAGAGGCAGGGAGTGGGGAGCATTTCCCCTAGAGAAGTCGGGTGAGTCTCCCAGGAGAATGGAGGGGTCTGGACAGATGAAACTTGTCTGCTCAGGGGTAAAACAAATTACAGATCATCTGATAAAGGAAAGGTCAAAATTGGATTCTATGCTTAAACAGTACTTTATTACAGAACTAAAAAAGGAAAGGAAGGTGAAATAAAGTCATCTCTAATTTGATTAGGAACAAAATATCACTAGCATTGATTGCACAAGCATCAGCATTTGGTCAAACACCGGTGATGCACAGAACACGGCAGGGGAAACTGGCACACAGGGCTGATCTACAAGGCCTGTGGCTCTTGTCCCTCAAACCTGGTCCTTGTCAAGCTCCGCTCAAGCCCATTTTCCCCAGAAGCCTCAGGCGTGGGTGGAGGCTTTCCCTCTCCATGAGTAAGTGCCCCGAATCAGGAGGTGAGTGTTCCTGCACAGGACTCTTGGGCTTTGATTAACGCATCGGATAGGCAGTTTTTCCAAAAAGTCGGTTAAATGATTTGAGGGACCGTCTTTTAAAATACATAAAAATAAGGCTCACATTTGAGAAGGAATGATATCATCGTTTTTCTCCTCCCATTCATACTCATTCATCAAAACAATTGCTGGTGCCTATGCACCAGGTATGCGTTGGGGATACAGCAGTAAGTTGGCGCTCACTCTGGCTCCTTAAAGCCGTGTTGGGTCCTACCTCCAGGAATGCTTCTCCCTCCAGCCTCCATTTCTCAACAGCGCCTGCTCACACAAACTCCATCACAGAACTCGCGGGGCAGGGCGGGGTACACGTACTCTCTCCCTACGGAGCCTGCCTGGGCGCTGGGCCCCCGGAAAAGGCCGTGCCCACGCCGCGGATCCCCGAGCGATGCCGCGAGCGTGATGCGGCGCAACAGCTGCAGGGCGCCAGCCG